TGTGCTAAGGACCATTTCCCTAGTCAGCTCACAGCTTACCCTAATCAGGCACCAGTGCACAGGCACACAAACACTGCACTAACAACTCTATTAAGAGCACTTTTACAGAAATGCACTTCTATTAACAATGTCATTGACATAATAACAGCTGCAGAGCTTCCTGCAAACACTGGAGGAAAGCAGCAACAATTCACTTTATTTTTTCTATTTTTTCTCCTTGATTTTTTTTCCCCAGGATTGATTGGTTGTTTACTACTTACTGAACATAAGCCGGATTTACTTTAGTGACCAAATAATTTTTGACTAATCTTTTAAAACCTTCACCATGCTATGAATTTTTCTGATTGTTCATAAGGTCTTCAGACCTTCAAACTAAAAGAGAAGATCCTGACCCCAGGCCTCACTTGGACATCACTAGATGGCTCTGGGACATCACTTGGTGGTTTTACAAAAAGTAGAATTTTTCCCTGGAGAAAAAGGATGGGAATCATTCTGCTGTGTTCTGTTTCATGTCAAGTCATGCAGCCAGCCTACTTCCTGGCAAATTATTCCATATTTTATTGCCATGAGTAAAGGCAAGTAGCAGGAAGGCATATTTTAACTTGGTTGTATGAACAGTGACTACTTCAGCAGGGGAGGGGGACACACTTTTCCTTCATGCTCTGGATATAGATTATTGAAAAAATTGTTCGAAATCAGACTCAACTGAAAAGCATCAGTATGCAAGTTCTACACTGCCAGCACAGGTCTGACAGTCATTGGAAATGCTCAGCTCTGCTCTGACTCTGCTGTATTTCCCTCTAAGCTGTCTGCTACCTCTTTGCTCTGGGCAAAGGCCATGGGCAAGAGGCTGAGCACCAGCAATGCTCAGTGGTTGGAATTGGAAGGGTTTGGCTCTCTGCCAGTCACTTGGGACCTGACTTTGCATCGCACAAGGAGGCTGTGTCTCCTTTGTGTCTCCTTCAAACTTCCAGGCTCTTCAAACAACAACTCACGATATTAATTCTAAAGCTGGAAAAGGCAGAAGAAAACTCTCCTTTTCTTTAAAGTTTACAGGAAAGTAATCTTTTTACCTTCTGCATTTAGCATCATAGAGGCTGCAAATGTGAACAGCTTTACAAATGACACTTCCAGCACTGTGAACTTGACTTCAGAGCTCACTTGGCGCTTGATGTCTGCATGTGATTTGCAACTTCAGAAGCACTTTAAAAGGAATGGGATTTATAATAATTGGTACAGAAGTATGTTTTTCTCTACTGAGATGTTCTCACTTGACAGCCAAGCTGGTTACCTGGAGCACATCTTCATGAGGAGACCCTCACAAACTGCTGCTTCACTACCTTTACAAACCCTATGGGCAGCAATGTGACCATTCCCAGCCAAGTGAGTTCTTCTGTTTTTCACATTCACATGACAGTTTCTGTATTCAGAAAATATTTAGTTCATAGTCCATAACAAATATCCTTTGTCCTTTGACAAAGGAGGTCAAATCATGAAATATTTGTGTGTGTCTTGAAGGTGTGGATATATGGCACTGATTTAGACTAGTCCAACCCTACTGGAAGTCTTGGGAAACAAACTAGTTTTTGTTGTTGGGGCTCCATCTTGTCACCAAAACATTATTTTGCTGCCTTGTGATCTGCCAGCTGAGCAAAGAGAAATATTGTGCACACAGTCTCTGCCAAATAACTCCCCAGCTCACTGCTGGATCCTGTCCCCCTATTCTTTACATTGTGTGACTGGCATTTCAGTCCAGGGCTCTCCTTTTAGGAGAGTTTCTACACTCTGTAATACCACCTGAAACAAACTTAGGGATGGATTGGGGGCAGTTCACAGTGACTGAGCCCACACATTATGTTCCCATGCTGTCCTGGTGGGTCTCATAATGTCACACACCCCAAATCTCTATCAGGTTCTACTTTTCTCAATGTACCAAATATTCTCAGCATCACAGCATGAACCATTCCACTTTCCCAGGCTATGATAACACCTTCATGTTTTTGTCAAGTTATTGAAATAAAAAAAAATCACAGGCAGTCACAGTAATGTCCCTCTGCCCAGAGGATATCTGGGGTGAGTGCTCTGCTATGTGGATAGGGCCATCCAGGAATTATAAATTGCAGAACACTGTAAGGTTATTGATGGATCAGAACCTCTGTGGGATCCTTTTAATAACTTTAAAATTTATAAATTAACATGATATAAATAAACAGAAAATTAATTGTGGTGTGCAATCTAAATAGTTGTTAAATCACAGTGCTTCTTCCCTGGCTATTTAAAGCACTGTATAACTATGCAGGATAAACTGATAAATGAAAGACCCAGTTTACTCTACAACCACTTAAAGGAGGACATTTTTTAAAAAAACAAACATATTGTGTGTCTTGGTGACAACAATAAGTAAGAGGCTCAATGCCAAGTAATTTCAAATGACCTGCAAGAACTGTAGCATTCCATGGACAATTGTGCTCAATACAGCTTGAAAACTTACTCTCAGTTCATTCTGTTCATAAGCAGAACAAGGGGAAAAGAAACCCAAGAAGAGAGAATAGCAAGAGCTTGGAATAAGAGTACTGTAGAATGCAAAACAAAAATACTTAATTTTAGCCTATAATTAAGAGATGTAGTTTAAAATTACACTATATGCAGCATTGTGTTTTATAAAGTTAAAGAAGCTGGAAAGGAGTGGTTACTGAATCATGCTGGCTTTGTTGGCTGCTCAGAGATCCAGTTGGTTGCTGAGTGCTACGAGGAGCTTTCCAGGCATTTCGGAAGTGTGAAGGAGGATTGTTGCTGTCATTGCACAACACAGGCAGAACACAACTCCAAAGAGAGTTTGGGCCTCTTGAGACTTTATCATCATCATCTGTAATTCCAGAACTTGGAGTCAGAGGCTGTATGAGTTGATTAATCCTGAGCCTGGAAATAGCTGGGCTGTATCAGATGCTCAGTTCTTGTCCTTCTCTCTTTAATTTAGTATGTGTAGTTCTCTGTACAGAGCTTTACCTTAGCACCAGTGTAGGGATTTTATCATGTCAGATTGCATTTTATATAAAAAATAGGTTTCTAAACTCCACTGTTGTATTGAATAAAGAATAAAACAATGGGTCCCACACTTCTAAACCCCCAGATGAACCCAAGAAGAATTTAATTTCCTTCTGTCTTACAAATAAGTCATTCTTATGAAGTTTTGCAGATAGATGCATGTATTTAGTGCTTGAGGTAATCATTTCTTGATCTCTTAGGCCAGTTTCAGGCAATTCAAATTTTAAACTTATTTTCCAAAATATGTTTGCTCTGGAAATTTCTTTGAGTGCGTGATGTGTATGTTGCCATTTCCATTTATGAAGTGAGACTTTGCAGACCTTGAGCTCTGCTCTGCATAGAAAAAAGGTCACTCCACACAGTGGTGGTGTTTTCAGTTTTACTTTGGTACAGAAATAAGGCACATGAATAATAAGCCACATTCTCTATCTTTACATGAAATGCTCATACTCTTGGGCCCATTGCACACAGTTGGCCAAATATTCAGGAAAGTATAGTAAATTAGTAGCTCCTAGCACTGGATACATTATGAAGAAGTTAATACCCCTTAAACAGTGACTTCTCCTTGTATTCATGTATCTCATACATCTGTATGGGACTCTACTGTACTGAACAAGCAGGACAATGACCCCAAGCAGCTCACACTGGTGAGCTATCCACCCTGTTATGGCCCTGATGGGTCTTCTCAGTGATACTAATTACTGGAAATAATAATTCATTTCCTGTGGAATTTTGTGCTCAAAATTCCCATAAATCAAATTTGGTTTTCTGCTCTATACAAGATACATTGTGCTGTGCAATGGTTGCCTATTCTGATGAGACACTTAATGGGCACCAGTCATGCTGCTGATGCAAATATCTGGTCCTACAGCCATTTTCATCACTATTTGTGAAATAAAGCTGAGTCAGTTAAATTTCACATATCCTGAATTTTTTTCCTATATCTATGTCTTGGCTTGAGACAATCTGAAGGGGGGAGACCTTGGACAGAAGTCTCCTCCCTCAGATTCCACACCCCTGCTTTCTCCAATAGAGAGAGACCAAATACACCCAGATGTAAACGAAAAAATAACTCTTTACCAAGAAGAATACTAATAGCAATACTGATAAACCTGGTGTCAAATTCCTACTGATGTCCTGACACTCCCTGAGCCAAAGGTGATAGAGGTAGAGATCACTAGCTTAGTACCAAACACTCTTCTTCCTAATATGTCTTCTCAGAGAAATTCCCACAACGTTTTGCCTCTGCTCAATACTAACAATAAAAGCTATTGATTTATGGTGGTTTTCAAAAGGAATTTAGGAGCATTTTATTTACTTTACTGTGTACTCACCAGTGATCATTTCACCTGTTAGCAGAGCATAGCCATTTCTGAGAGAATACAGGAGCTCACATTAAGTACAACAAAGTAATTTGAAATAGGAAATAGACAGTACCCAATTGAAATTATAAAGATATTTAGGCAGGAAGAATGTAATTACCTAGGATGGAATTTGGCCAGGAGATGAAAGCTAATCTTATTCTACCCAGTGGCTACTTAACGTCAAATCTTTATGGAGACATATAGGGAGATATGAAACATTTATGAAAAATAGCGTATTATTCCCATCTCTCCCAACATACACACACATACACACAGATAATTTACTCTTTCATATAAGGATTTGCTCTTATTTACTTGGCAAAGTTGCTTTGTAAGGTAAGATCAGGAAACTTGCACATATAAAATATGCAGCAGATACACAATCAAAGACTGCAGAAGCTGAAGAAGGAGTAAAATGCAGGAGACAGTGCAAAACTCTGCTGCAGTTTTTAGACAAGAAAGTAAATTTGTAAATGGAAAATAAACTTGTACCGGAAACTCTTACATATAAACAATTGTATTTATTGCATCATTTTTGACTTCACAGCAGACAGAATTAGGGTAAAGAAAAGGACTAGGCTTCATGTAAAATCATTTCCAACCACACCTAATACCAGCTATCTTTTATTGTTGCATGGAAAAGCAGAAGTAGAGAGGTACAGAGTGAGTCCATAACTTGAATAACAAACTGATTTTTTCATCAGATACTTATGGTTACAACCAGGAATAGTGAAAGAATATGCAAGTGTTATCTACAGCAACTGAGTGACTAAGATGCTTATTGTTATGTTAAGTAATCAAAAGTAGCTGCAGTCTTAAAAGAGTTGGCAGATCAACCCTATTTAGGCATACTTTTTAAGATGGGAGTTCATCAGCTGTTTTTCTGTAGGAGGAATCAATTAGTAGAACCAAATTGTAGCACTGAATAGTACATCAGCAAAAATAGATGAAGTGATCACAGCATCAGCAATTGTCATCTTCTCCCTGGAGAAACAAAGGCAGTTTTTAGCATCTTCACAGGCTGTAAGGGACAGAGTGGAAAGGAGTGATAAATGTGTTTTTCTGTATTTCTTTATCCTTTTGGTAGTAACACATGAGAACTGAACTCTGATAGTACTTTGTTACTGTGACAGTAAATCGTACAAGCACCACTGATTTTCTCACTGAGTTAAAGTTTTCTGCAGCACAATCAGAGAATTGTCAAACAGCTTTGATTACACAGTAAACTATATACTTATCATGTCAGTAACAAAACCCTGGTTAATTTAGGTGAATTTCTGAGGTACACCAACTCTTTCAGTCAGAGACATGAATTTATGAAGATGAGGTGATTTGTCAAAGCATCTTACTGTGGGTTTCAGTGTGCTCCACTTCCACTATTACCTCCTCTTTTCAGGAGCAGATGCATGGAGAGAGTTTCCCAGATTTAGACTCCACTGTAACACAAGGCCACATTCATAAGAGATTCAGAAAAACTAATCTAGACTATACACTCCCAGGACAGAATTAGATGCTGTGTTATTTTTCTCTACTCCTTTACACGAAGTGGTTTTAAACCCTAAGAGTAATATAATTTCTTTACCTCTTTGATTGTACTTTTGAGCATAATTTTCTGTAGACTCCCCTAAGCCCAGGCTAAAATTCCACTCCTGTTGCCTCCTCCCCTCTGGACTTTCTACCAATAACCCTCCAAAACTTTCACAGGTTTGAGCAGAGCACTGCCATAAGACCTTCCTTGTTGTATAGTACCACCCTAGGAGCAATCTCACACACCCAAATACCAAGTGCTGCTGCAGGAGGTAGAGCAAACAGCTATACCAGAAATTGCTTTTGACCTCTGTCTGACAAGCTTTGTGGGAGGGCCACCCCTGAAGTGACAGTCACTGGACACAGAGAAAGGACTATAGATGTGTAAGGTGATAACAGGCCCTCATGTCTGCTCACTATTTACTTTAACCTTGTCATCTGTTCTGTGTTACATTCAGCCAGAGGAGAGGAGTGAAGAATTGATAGGACAGACCGTGTTCTCCAGGCTTCTTACTGAACACAGCAAAGGTAGGCAGGGGGAAGATTTTTCATAAGTGTTGCTCAAATCTTATTGAAGACTTGCTGAGCATGGGTAAACCAGTGAATGTGAATTGTAGATTTAAATTTGGTAGTTAATTTAAAGTATTAGCTTGTGCTTTGCCATGCCATGTATTAAGTTATTAGTCTTTGATACATATAGGTGCTGTTGAACTGCAAACCCACTGCTGTGTAGATTTAGGAAGGCTTAAGTAATAATTATAACATGAACTTGGCCTTTTTACTGAGAAGGTTTAGGCACTAGAAGTTCATATGGCTTAGAACTTCCTTGGACAACTTTTGCAGGATACAGTTTGGAAATAATGTTATACAAATACCTGTATTTTCACAGGGGAAAGGCAGGCTTTTACTAGTTCTTGCTAGATACTTACGATAATGGTAATGAGACAGACTGGACTATAATGCTGTGTCTGATAAAATCATGCTTTCATCACAGGTCTCTGTATTAAGGGCAGCCCTTCTCAGAGAATTATGAGGTGAGCTGCTGGGATGGGCACCGCAGAAAGTCACCAGAGGCTAAGCTTGATGTAAGTGTACCCCAAGCTACCCATTCAGCAACACATATCTGTGTGAATTCTTCCCCACGGCAATGTAAGCTAGATCATCAGTCTTTTATTGAAGGAGAAATAATCTAACATTTATTGTGAGACAAGACTATAACAAGGGCAGCTACTGAAAAAAATTACTCGCCTGATTATATAGGTCCATCTTATTTCCCCTGGCCAACTTGTTTTATTAAAAGCTGATGATAATAAGCTAATGCAAAGATTCACTTTTATAAATGTTTATCTTGGTACTGAAAATGCTGCAATTCTAGTACAGACAACCAAAGATAATGGAATATTTGTAATGTGTTTGTTTATCTAGCACAAACAAAATTGATACAGCAAACTTGTGCCAGGAAGATGGCTTTGTTTTGACAAATTATCCACAGAAGCCTTGTTCTCTAAAGGTTGGCTGATCAATCAAGGCCCTCTCTGTTATTTTATAATGTCTGCTGTGCACAGATATCTGCACAGTCACATAAGAGCTACCTCAATAGCCAAAGCATGCTTGTTCTTTGATGTTACTACTTTTCACATACTCTTTCCCCAAATCCTCTAAAACAATTTAGAGCAATAATTGCTCTAACAGCAGTCTTCTTCATTACCAGCTTATCATTTTGTAAGTTGTAATTAATTCATAATTAATTTACTATCGGTTCACATCAATACAGAGGAGGGCCAGCTCTGTTCCCCAAGCTCAGCTCGAAGAATGAGCCTGCAGTTCAGAGCACCATTGCTTCTCCTGGCAGGGGAGCTCCAGGCACAGGGACTTGCATTGGGCTCTGCAGAGGCCTGGGATGTGTAACCACTTGAGAGCTGAAGTCAAAGCTGGCAGAGGAATGCAGAGGGGCATATTCAGAGCACCTTATAAGTACTTAAGTTAAGCAGTATGACTACCATGGCATCTAAGTTCAAGAGAATGTTAAGAAATGGAGAGGATTTGCTCTGAGGCTCCAGCTCTCAAGCTCCCTGCAGATGTTGTGGGAAAAAAGGATTGGGATCCCTAAATCAAACTGTTGCCAGCTCTGTGGCAGACTGAGCCATCCATGCTGCCTTGAGCTCAGGCACTGAAGCAGTTGCAGTGTCTCAGAGACCTGCTTGCAGAGGGAAAGGCATTCACATTCAGGCTGGAGCCTCTCAGTAGACCTCTTAAACTCTTCTTTCTGTTTGCTTAAATTCAGCTTTGCTGGTGTGGACGCATTGTGCTGATATATTTACAACTCAGGAAAGAGAGTCAGAGGTGTCCCCGGGTGGAAGCTTGCATGAAGATAATGCCCCAAAATCTTGGAAGGTGATAGACAAATAACAGCCCAAACCATCTTTTATTCTTTAAACAGAAGACAGCTGTCAGGAGATGAGCTGATGCCTTGGGGACTGCAAATGGCAAGCAGATGTGTCTTCCTAGTTGTCAACTAGTTCAACCTCTTCTGCTAATCTCCTAAGTGCCAATAATGTCTTTGTAACCCAGACACCATAGGAAAAACGTTTCTGCCTAGCAAAAAATTGGGAAAGTTTACTCAAATTAACTATGAGTCTCCAGGTGAGCTCTTGTTTTATGACTAGTGCTTTATCATGCACAGCAAAATGTGGTAATAGAATGTTGTAAAACAGCATATTCATTTAAGGCCAGCACCATTCAGGTCTGAGTACTTTATCCTATTGTCTATGTTCTGCGCTGTGATTTTTAAGGTTGCCTTTCTTGTACGAGTCTCTGAAGGGAAGAAATTAGAAGTATAGGCTTATTAACAGTGGTAACTGTATGTACAAAATTTGGAAATATATATACATGTACAGTACATGCAAGATACAAACAAGATGAAAAATAACTAGATACTGTAAATCCTGTTGTACATTCCCAACTCCTTTGAATTATCTCCCTGTGACTCTGCCTTTTATAGCCATCCTTGCTCCTTCTGCTTCTATAAGCAGCCTCTTTGTAAGAAGGAAATGATACAAATTTCAGAGGATACGTAAAAAAATTCAACAACCTTGTGACATCAGTTATTTGAAAAACATTACAACAAATTAATTCTGTGTGCATGTCATCATTGTTGTGTTCTGGATGCTGTGCTTGTCCTGTTGTAAATGTTCTACAGGAATGACAAGGATTTTTAGAGAGTAGAAATTTTAATTTTTTGAGCAGGTGAGAGATTTTTCAGAAGACTAAAATTTCACTAAACAGTGATTTATCTGCAGTGGATTATCTGCAGTTTCATCTGAGCCATCGTGGAAAGCTCACAGTATAGATGACTCACTGGGCAATGCTCTGTGCATTTGCTGTACAGAGTCCCTCTATAGGATGCTGCAGAGTCAGCCAGTGCCCCATCCTCACCCAAGTCCTGATAATCACAGATATTTGTGTGTGACAAGTGAACATGTTAAGCTTACCAATGACATCTTACAATTCTGATTTAATAAGTACTAAAATGATTAAAAGTGAAAAAATAATTTCTCCCATTCATGAAGATGGTTTTTAAACAATAAATATTTTCTTGGATTTGCTTTACTGCACCTTCCCCTACAGGAAGAGATCTAATTGCAAAAACATATTTAAATTCTTGCATAAAAACCCATCATTATGGTCTTAAAGAAAATGTAATGGCAAACAGACTGGTGACTTTGCATTTCTAAGACCTAAACATTTCTTGAACACAAGTAGGGATTTAAGACTTGGGATTTAAGGCTGTTACCCTGTACCAGTCTCAAATACTGCCACTGTATCCAGAGAGAATATCCTAGACTTGCTCTGGAGTAGTCGTAGTGGAAATCTCCCCCAAGGTATCTCCAATTTCTTTAAGCCTCTATTAGTTTTTCAGCAATAGTTTGGACTTGAGAAATTGCTATTTGCAAACAGAGCATTGCTCAGTTTCCCCTGAAGAAGTGCTGAAATGTGCGCATGTGGAAACTATCCCTGTTTTGTTAGCTTGGGAATTTTGTACAAGAAGGTACTGTAATTTATAATACCCATGTAAGCCAAAGAAGCTACACACATCTTGCAATTTGCAGGATTGGGTCCTTAGACTACTTTCTTTTCTGTTCGTGTCACCCAGAGAAAAAAAGTACTGCAAAGAGCCTGAGATTTTCCTGAGCATTTTAGGTCAAATTTAGGGAAGAGAAAGATATTACAATAAGTAACTATGTTATAAGTAAAAATTATTTTTTTTTTCCAAAACCAAATATATATTTACTAAAAATCCATAACAATGACAAATTATTAACATTCAGGAAAAAAAAAAGAAAAGAGAAAGATAAAAAATAGCATCTATTTTTTTGAGTGCAGAGTGCTGGAAACTATTTAGTTAACTCTTTGTTCCCACCTGTGGAACCAGGTCCCTCTGGATGCCTCTGCACCCTGCACCAATTAGCTGCAGGGACAACTTGGATGGGCACAGTTGCTGGCTGTGAGTGGCATGTGGGATAACACTGCTTCCAACACTGATCCATGGGGACAAGCCTCAGATTACCAGTGTTTAGCAGCCTGCCACCAGACCTCCAAACTTGTATAAGACGTCCTTGCTGTTGGGGAGGTGTAAAGGAGAGTAGGGTCAGATTTTGGGTGCTATTTACAGGCTCTTCCTGACACCAGCTGATACAAGGGAAGGTACTTTGGTACTTACCTGCCTTCATCAGAAACATCAGCTGGAAGGACTGTACTTCTTTGTACCCCCTTCATTACCCCTTAATGTAGTGTTTTGCCAGCTTTTGTACGGACCTTGCAGATTTTTTTGGGTGTGACAGACAACTCATATGCTTGTTGAAGGGTAAATACAGGAAACAATTCAGTGCCCTTGTCAGCACTCAGAGGCCCCCTGCTCTCCGTGGGAGGATGTTTTTGAAAGCTGTAGACTTTGACAAAGATACTTATGCCCTTAACATTTAAAAAGCCTTTCTTTGGTTTGGGGTTTGTTTTTTGTTTGGTTGGTTGTTTTTTAAAATTATCCCTCAATGGAGAATTTGTCAAATAGGTTGGTGGCTACTTGCCCAGAACAAGATGTGGGAATTCTGAGGCTCAGTCTGGGCTCCAGGATTCAAAGGCAGCACAGCAGAGCTCTTGACCCCCTGTGGCAATGCAGCATTGGATTTAACATTATTAAAAAATCACTCATTCTGCATGTACATTAAGGTTCTTCCAGCCTTGTGTGCATGTCTTAAGGGAGTTTGCACAATTATGACAACGAAATGAGTATAGGGAATAAAAGTCTAAAATGGCTAAAAAACTGTTCAAAATAAAACGGCCAAAACCTTATAAACGAGGTAAGGAAAACCCAGTGTAAAACCACTGCATGGAACCCATTTTTCCCCCCCTTTTTTTCTCCCACTAAGAATGGGCTGGGTAGTATTTGCTTACTGTGGCAGAGATCTATAGTGATTCAATTCCATCCACTGCATCCCCTAAACTCATTCCTTGAATATCTTCACCAGATTTTCTGAAGATTGTTGCCATTGGTTCACTACTCTCATGAAACTGTTCTCATCTATAGCAATAGAATATTTATTTTTGTATCTTTATACCCAAGGCATGTTTACAAAACATGAAATTTCCAGGTAAAAATGGTTCTGGGGTGCAATTTCAAATAGCAAGCCTGACGTACAGATGAAATTCTAACATAAAAGCAAATGATTGAGAAAGAAGTACTGGCACTGAGGATTATTTTAAACCATACATTTAGTCAGATTAATTAGTCAGGATTAGTTTCTACTGCAAATTTATGCAGCTCCTTGATCATTGAACTTCACTGATAATTACTTACTTGCATCTTCATAAAAAAGAGGAGATAAATGGTAGCTGATGAAAGGCTTCAATTCTTTGTCCCTGCAGAAATAAAAACAAACTTTGCTCTTATACAGAATGGTCGCACAAAGAATTTGTGGTTTCTTACTTTGAAAATGGGATTGTTATTATCTGAAAGGGATAATTTAACAAAAATTAAGAGGTAAAATGCTCTCTCATACTGGGATCAAACTACTCATTACTGCTTTGATATATTTTTTTAATAAAATGAAAAGGACTCATTCTCCTTAGAATGACATTACAGAAGACTTTACAGAATATATAGAGGGATAATCCTGATAATTTCCTTCCCTCCTTCCTTCCCTCCCTCCTTCCTTCCCTCCCTCCTTCCCTCCCTCCCTCCCTCCTTCCCTCCTTCCCTTCTTTCCTCCCTCCTTCCTTCCCTCCCTCCTTCCCTCCCTCCTCCTCCTTCCTCCCTCCCTCCCTCCTCCCCTCCCTTCCCCTCCCTCCCTCCCTCCTTTCCTCCCTCCCTCCTTCCCTCTCTCCTTCCTTCCCTCCCTCCTTCCTTCCCTCCCTCCTTCCTTCCTTCCTTCCCTCCCTCCTTCCCTCCTTCCTTTCCTTCCCTCCTTCCCTCCTTCCTTCCCTCCCTCCTTCCCCTCCTTCCTTCCTTTCCTTCCTTTCCTTCCAGGTTGATAGCCTACTGTAGTCAATGGGAATATTTAATTCATTTTTCCAGATTTAGGACTTTTAAAATAGATGAAGGGAAGGAGAGGAATCTGTTTTACTACAGGTTTCTCAGATGCCCTTCACTTGCAGACCCTGCTGAGTGTTGATAATGAATCTCTAGGAAATCATGACCTCATTGCACATTTTGGGTAACAGGAGAATATTTCTGCATGTTTCTTTGGAAAATCACTTACTATTTGCAGTACAGGAGAGTCCAGGAATTTTGTGACTGGCTGTGTCCATGACACAGACATTTACATGGTAAAACAAAATGAGCCTTTAGTCCTTTCTCCAGAGAATTATATTTCATGTTCAACAGCACCAGTGGAACAAAACAAACAAAGCAGGATTGGGAGAAGCAACTCCTCCAGGCATGTTTTGTATAGTTCATTGTATATAAATTTAATGAGTAGATTAGAAGCAGTAACAGCATTTGCTTCCAGCTTACCTGTTAATTTTTGCTATAGCCTTCTGTAAGACAAACTAATTTTTAAGGCTTGGTTATGAGCCATTTATTAAATTTTTCTTCTTTTTTCCTTTCTTAATTGTGCATTTCTGGTTTTAGAGCCTTTGAACCTACAATCATGGTGTGTCTTTTCCCTCCTGTTCCAGATGAAAGAGCGAAGTCCATTTTGGAATATTTTCAATAGCTGAATTGAGCACAGCACATTTTCAGCAAACACTCCGTCCCCTCAAACCTTCTGGTTTAATTTTTCAATCATGTATTACTGCTGTTTGTATGCAAAACCTCTAATTATGTTGTCCCAAATAATCACGTCCAAACTGAGAGGGTGACAAAAAAAAATTCCATTTTGCCAAGGATTTTATAAACCTTGAATCTTCCTGGGAGGGAGACGGAATACGGAACCAGGGAAAAAAATGTCTTCAAGTAATTTTGGGTAATAGGTTTTGTCATTTTCAATTTTTTTTTTAAACAATAATCCTTTGAATATAGTGGAGAAATGGAACATCTTATTTGTCAATTAATGTAGAGTGCTTTACAAACGATGTTATGACATTTGCCTCACCCTGTCTACATCAGTATGACAGTCTCATTAATAGTTCAATGGGGTTTTTTATCTCATGTTTTTATCATGAGGACAAATATGGAGTCACCATTCTTTCTCTGGTATGTATTTACCTTCTCCCCATGCAGTATTCCTCTAACCTCCCCTGATTTAGTTCAAAACATTGCTCTGGATTTCTGTTTGCTGTCGAGAGTTATAAATATGGATTTATGTAACTCAGTGTTTATTTAATGAATCCAGTGCTTATTACACTGGAAGTGAATTGTTAACTGCCTTTTCTGAAACTATGTTTCAAATAGGCCTTAGTCAACAACTGGCTTCAAGTCTCTCATTTTTGGAGTAGCTGAGAATGAATCGATAAGAGACAGGTACTGCTCAATATGCCTTGCACATTCTACCAGCAAATACGAATATTCAATAACACTATGAATTTTTAGGTTACAAGGAGCAGGAAATTCACCCTTGATATGACTTTTCCTGCAGCAGAGAAGCTTTCACAGAAGAGACAGAAGAAGAATTGAGATTTCTCTTCTGTGAAGGGCTGTGTGAGACAAAGGCCTCAAACAGCAGGACAGACACACCTCTGTGTCTGTCAGTCCTTGTGGAGATGGAAATGCTGTGCATTTGAGCACTTTGATATGGACATTTTGCAAAAGAAATCACTGGGATTATTTGACTAGATATACATGGTAGGAATTATCACTATTTTAAAATAACAATAATCATAAAATGTGTTGGTTCCTAGGCAAAAAGATTTGGATGCTGTTAGATTTAGTCTTGAATTGCTTACATACCCTACCAAATGAACCTCACCTCCCATTTAAATATAATGAAACTTAAGCAATATTTCCACAAAATAGTTAACTGTCAGAGACAAGTGGATTTAAGTCCATGTTTACTATTCCGTAGTAGACCGGAAAACACTTAACCTTTCCAGCAGGAAGAAAGGGAATTTATTAGCACAAGAATAATATGATTTGAGATAAACCTAAAATAAGATGCCAAGAAAACTGTGCAAGCCATATTTTAGTGATTAAGTGACAGTGCTAAGATCAGTACACACAAACCCCATTCCCTACTATTTTCTTCAACTGTGAGATTTGCACTTGACAATTAAATGCTGTAACTAATTTTGGGAGACTCACTGGTTTGCTTTATTTTCCTCCTGCTGAAGAACTTGGTCTGACAAAGACCTTTCTCTCTATTTGACCTGTGTAGGACCAGACCTATGAACTGAAAAGGTGCATGAAAGTGCGTGAGCTCAAAGTAGCACAAGTTTCTCCTCACCACTGCTAAAGAGGGGAAGTCTGTGAGCTCCAAATTCACCAAACTACAGAGTGCAGCCCCTGCAGTCTGTACAAAGTGACAGTGAAGACAGATCCATTATATACTTGGAGTCCTGCCTGCAGGACGGCAGAGTTTGAGCAACTGCAAGCCCCTACAGCTGCTCTCTAATTCTCTCATATAGTTCTCTCACCCTTGTTCCCAACTAAGGTAAGCAAGAGAACACCACCAGAAAAAAACAGCAGCATAGATTTTTATTTTTTTCCCCCAATATCCTCTCTGTCTTTGCATAGGAGTTGAGCCAATGTAAACTTGATTTAAAAGGATTCAAACACTGCAGAAGAGAGAAGCAAGAACAGGTCTCTGTGATTCCAGGAGAAAATTTCTCTTTAAGTTTACTTGAGTTTGAGAGAAATCACTCACGAAGAGATTAACTGTGCCCACAAATAAAGTAAGAGAAAAGCAGATAAAGAACTACACATTTTCAGCAAGGTGGTAGGTATTTAAAAACTAAATCCACTCCCCTGTAAAATAACCTGACAATACTTAATAGCAGATATGGGAGGGAGTTTTGAATCTGATCCTTCCATCTCCTGTGGTTCAAATTGAACTCTCGGTCATCTGACCCATACAGACACTTGAAGTTTTCCTAATTGAAAATAGAGCCTTAAAAAAGCCCTGGCATTTACATAATTAACTGGTTGTAGTAAGGAAAGGTCTGGATTCACAATTCATGAACCCAGAACCTGTAAAATGCTGATGGCCCTAAAGGCAGGCTGGTGATTTCAAGCTGTCTTTGAGAGGCAGAAGCTCCCAGTGGGGCTGATTTCCTGATTCACTGAGGTCTCCACGGATGGTTCACTGCTGGTTCACACCCTGGGAGGAGGTAACACCCTGCTCTTTCTTGGGACAGCACTGAAAACCACAGCCCTAGCTTCTCACAGCTGACTCAATCACAGCCCCATAAGCAGAGACATAATAATTTTTATTGCTCCAAGACTGAAATGGTCCCAGTGTGCATTTTTTTCCACACTAAAAGTGTATTTAAATTAATGTTATTTGATACAAACCATAGCTGAACTAATTTCTTGCCCTCTCACAGCCTTCTTTGTGGCACAGCATAGCACTCCATGTTGTCTGCTGTGGCTGCTTCCTCATTAGACTGCTCAGTGGAAAAGAAAATGCTAAAAGCAAAGTCATCCTAGTGGAAATAACAGTTTTCTTGAGTCTTCTTCTGCAAGGAAAAGCTAAACTTTCCAAGCGTTTGTGCATCCCTTTTCCACATGCAACCCTAGAGGGGAAGAGCTATAGAGGAGAAAACTGATTTTTTCCTTGTATAGCATAATGTTTCAGAAGGATACAACTATGCAATACTGAAATTACCTCAGAAAAAACTCTTTTTTAGTGTTTTACTGAGTGACACGTTTGAGGGTGTCTCTGCTTTGAGTTGAATCTTCAGCTTACCTCTAAAGGCAGGCATTTGTAAGTAAAATCTTCATCATATTTAGCCCCAGATGTATGCATTTTTGGTTGATACATGTGGTAGGAGTAATCTTCTTTTATCCCTATGTGTTTGTAGACTATTTAAGCATGCTTTGCTGTATGCTGTCCCAGAGCATCCTTACCAAAGCTTCAGCAAGCCTGGCTTATTTCCAAAAATGTTCTTTGTGAAAATTAAAAGAGAATAATTAGAACACTATCTACAAAAAGCAAACAAAATACAGCAGAAATAATTTAGGATTTCAGGTACATAAAGAGCAAGTGCTGCTTACTGGACTTTCTCTGTAGTGTGCACAGAGAAGGAAATAAAACAATTTTGTTGGTTCTATTATCATTCTTGCAAGCACAACACAAAGCATTGCTGATATGGTACAGGTCCATCTTCCAGCTGGGGGGAAGAAAAGAAAAAGCAATTAAGAACATTATAAATTTGGTTTGTTGCTCTGGGCTGGAAAGGTCCAGTTAAGCATGTTGTGATTCTGAACAGAGAAGAATAGGAGATGAGCCAAGAGAGAATTTCTCTTGATATTATCACTTGACCTTTTTCTACTGCCTTCCACAGCTCTCCCAGCCAAGGATATATCTGTCCTCTGTCTCTCAAAGCCAAAATCTGTCCATGTATAATTCACACTCCTGATGATGTGTGGGCTAAATAGTAGCCTGGAAAACTTAATCTTCTGGTCTGACCCTGTGAAAGAGTACTGTTCTGCACACCTCAGTGAAGACACTCAGCCCTGATTTCCAGGGCATGGAACTAGGTGGCAATTTCAACTTGTCCTACTCCTTTTCCCATCATCTCCCTAAAACTAATTTGCTTGATTGTGAAACCAAAGAAACAAAGTTAACTCTTGCTCTGTACAGGCAGTGAGAAATTCATACCTCCTCCAAGAAGAGGAATCAGAATTAACTATCTTAAAAGTCCGTTTTGCATGTTTGTCACATGTCCTTTCACTAGCGCTGACTTTTTGTTTGGGGACAGCACTGGCAAAGAACTGCTTTTATAGCACCTCTTGCACTCTTGTTTCGGTAGTCTCAGTATCCTTTCTTGGTGATTCTACACAGCACTCCACTGGTTTGCATGTAAAACAGTAATGGGAAACGAGTCTCTGAGAAATGAATCTAGATCACATTTCTCTTAAGTGAGCACACCAGGTAGCTGGTACAGGCCCAGCCAGACACAGTTCCCTTGAAACCAAGCCTTATCTTTATGTGTCACTTTAATCTGGAGAAAATGAACACAAAGCACTCAAAAGTTATATCTGCTTTACAGCATCTGTCCTTTGTAAATTGGAGATGTAGAATAGACCATTTCTCTGGGGTTTTTTCTGGTTCCATTGTTCCCAGTGCTACCATGACCTGTAGTCCTGAGTGAACCTGTGAAGCACAGCTCATAAACCTGCTACCACTGCCTTAAAATCCTTGCTGTGTCATGTGCAGGTCAGTCCTGAGCCTGCACTGGCTGTACTAAAGCCCCAGTTATTTTTGTGGGCAGCATCACTTGTTTTTCCATCCCTTTCACATCTCACACCTGCTTGATGTGCAGCCAAGCTGCCTCCTGCCAGCAGCTCATACATGGTCGGCCACCCTGTGCCAGGGAGCAGATTGGCTCTGTCTGCCAGGCTATCAGCAGGAACAATTGTCCCACTGATGCGTCACAGCTTTGGACAGGGGAAAAGTGGTCGCTTGTATTTAAATAGCTCTGGTGGCTGGAATAACGTCAGGCTGCTGTAGGACTGTTGGTGGCTTTGCTGTTGGACTCAGGGATCTGTGATGGGCTGTCTTAGCCGTTCTTGTTTACGAGCTTATGTACAACATAGAGGGGCTGAGAGTGAGTTTACCTATGCCAGCAGTGGTGGCCACAGCACAGCAGCTTGGCAACTACCTCTGCTGGCCACCAGCCACGTAAATCAGCAATTGCTTGCAGAATGTTGTGGGCTGGCAACTGAGAAATAACCTGTCAGCACCCAACTGAGCAGCTGCAGGCTGGGCACAGCCTTCAAGATGGATAATGCTGCAGTCTGATGTGAAATTTGTGCCAGATTATCCCAGTTCATCGAGCGAGAGAATAGAAAAAATGGCTATTTCAATAAGGGCAGAAATAAACTGGAATACAAAAAAAATGAAACTAGTTGTCTAAAGAGAATAATTTTTTATAACATTCACAGTGGTTTATAAATCGTCCCCAACTAGTTCATGTTTGTATGGAAGCTGTTGTGGAAAGCTGATATTACCTTACTGCAAGCATTTTACTCCTGTTCTGTCTGTTCTGTGGAAAAAATTGTTTGGTTCCTTTTGTAGAATGAGGTTAGAAATACAACTTTGTTGAGAAATGGTGGGGTTCTTGAGATAGACCAGTAATAAAGAAACCACAGAGAAAGAAAGTGGAAAAAGGTTATTAGCTCTCTAATAAAGGACCTGACTGTGACTCTGACAGTGTTGCAGGAATTTGCTATCTTCTTTTGTATGGCACTGGGAAAATCAGGATTGATTTTTAAATATAATGATATAAACCAGAAATAAGTTTCAAAGGTAAACTTAGAGGTAGATATTTAAAGAGTAGTGTTATACCTTTGTATTGATAAGTTTAATTAAAAGACAGATGGATCCATGAGTGTTGTAAAGGAGCAAAGCCCAGGTAAGCAGTCATAATGCCTCTCAATTTTGGTTTATTCCTGGCATTAGAAATGAGTGAACCTTCCTCATAAGAGGCTTATTCCTACTTTCTCCTTTACTGAGCTCCTATTTTTTGAGAACTTGGGGAAACCTACGTTAATAATATAGAAATAAGACACTATGAATGATGCAAACAGAATTTTGGAAGTATTTTATTTCATTGCCTCTTTTGCAATTTTGCCTATTCAACTAGCTTGGAATTCAAAACCTGTTTAAACACATCATTACACACTTCAGTTCACTTACAGGATAGATGCCACTATTTCTCATTTAGCAAATTAGCAAAAGGAGGCACACAGTGTGTAACTGAGGCAGGTGATGCACCTACTAAGCACAAAGTAACCCATAGTGCTAGTTCCTGAGGGATAAAGGACCTGACCTATAGCTGATACTGTCTTCAGGGGGCTTCAGAGAATCATATTAAAAATGAGTCACTAGAGGAGGTGGGAATGGTCTCAGGAGCTTAGGAGCTGGGTTGAAGGTTTGATCTGAAAGCAACTGAAGAGAATGCAAATATTCTACTGTCCTGAGTGGGTTGCTTGAGGTCCTCACGATTTCAGCTATTTCAGCAGAACATAATTTAATAGTTTCTAGTGGAGTTATCTGAATGGAAATAAAAGCATCTCTTACAGCACAAAAACCTGAAATAATAAGTTTTATAAATTAATGCTTCAGCCAGTTCAACATTCAGTCTTGAACAATATTTCATTTGTAAACAAATGAGAGGACATTTCTGAAATATTATTTGTATGGAGAAAAAAAAGACTATTTAGGACAATATGAGAAAATTGTGCTGACTCATGCAAAGATACAATTTTATCTTGAGATTATGAATGTACTTCTCCTATTATTTTATTAATTCTCAATACATTAAAATGGAGTGCAGAGGTATCTCATGGAACTTAGCAGAATGAAGATGCATCCAAAAAATCAGTTTTATTATCATCTATTTTAGTGTTCCATTGGTGATTTGAGAGTTTGTTGTTTGAACAGGTTGTTACAGTGCCTTGCTTCAACTACCTTAATATTTTAATTTAGCTGTGAATTTTATTCCAAGAATACTTCTAGTTTGCCCAAATCTGCTCATTTTTAGAATTCATTACATTCAACATGGTCTCTCATTTGAGCAAGAGATCAGTAATGTTATACCAAATTGAAAATATATGTAAATCACTTATTGAATATGTGATGTTCACATCCACAAATGAAAATCTATGAATGTATTTATTGTATTTGCATGTAACAAAGCCAATTGCTTTAAAATATCTGTGAATATTATGAGTACCTACAGTGGGTTTTTTGTTCCTGTTTTTCATCTCAAATGATTATTTCAAACACCAGCTTCTTCTCTCCTTAATCTTTTCTGCAAATCCAATAACTGAAATAAAATTATATTCTATGATGGTAACAGAAATCAATATCCAGACCTATTAGTGGATGCAGATATTGACACAGGTAATATTATTTTCATATTGCCATAATGTTGGTCCAGATGTTCACATGTCAGTTTTAAGTATAGAGCAGGTGGGTTTGGAAGCTCTATCAGTCCAGAAGCAATAGTTTTTGGCAGGATATGGAGTGATCCATGAGGTTATTTATGATCTATAACTGCAGTTTTATTGTCTAGTTTATATTCCTACTGTGCAAAAATCCCATCGCCACCTGATATTTTAAAATGATCCTTTGTACACAGGGACCATGTGGGCTTCTTTAGGGATTTCTGTGGACTTACAGGAACACAAAAATCCAGTGTCCTGTTTTCTATATATTCAAGTGTTCTGAAGGAAGAAGAAATGTCATTTGAAACTCTGTTGTTCTATTTATAGAAGACCTGATATCACAGGTTGACTGCATACAAAATTTTATTAAGGTCTGACTGATGCTTTCCATGGCTGGTAAATGGCTCTTGGTCAGAGCTGGGTGTATTAAAGTGCTTGGTTGATTTAGAATTGGAATGTAAATGGTAAAGCTCATTTTATGAACTTCATTATTTCTGGAGTGAAGCTTCTCATACAGTTTATTAATTTACCTGATTTTTATTATCTTTTTCTCAACAACAACTGCTTTCTTAATAGGTTTTTGACACTGAGGTTTAATGGCATTTAAAAAGATGACAGACCCATGCAGAGAAGGTGCAAGTCATATGTATTAAAATGTTCAGTCCTGAAAAGATCATTACATTCCAGAAACGGAATCTCCGCTGTTCTTTTTCCATTTAGGTTTTTAGGTTTTGCTCTGGTAGTTTGAGCATAATACTATGGATAAAATAATTTACTTTTGCTTTTAGGGAAGAACTTTTTCAGTTTATCCACAAACTAGAAGAATGAGAGAGGCAGCAACTGCAGAATCCCAAACCCTTACGATATGTGAGCACTTCCAAAATCAGCCACTCCTTCATTTGTACAAGCCTCTCTGCCTTTGGAAATACATTGAATCTCCATACTAGTGTAAAATTTGACTAGATGGCCTTCCAGCTCTGAAGCAAAACCAGATTCTACTGACTTCTATGGCTTTTGCCTCATCAAACTGAGTCAGTAATTCAGATAGGATTTATTCTGTGGATTTATAACAGAATATTTTATCTTGAAAATTCTTTTCAATATACTTTTCATTTGCAAAAAGTTCTTTACATTTCAAATGTATGCATATATTTGAGCTGACATTAGTTTTCATAACGAACATGAAAATGTAATATACATAGACACCTCAAGCTCATTACTCTGCTATTTTAAAAACCATAACCATATTTGTGCTAAAATAAACATTTTCTTTTTCTTACAACCTGCATTACTTACAGTCAGCTGTAGGCAGAGGAAGTACCAACTTTTCTGATGACCTGAAGCTTTTACCCTGGAGATGTGGTTGCAAAAGGGTTGGGGATGTAGTCCTGCAGAGAACAGAGATTTTTCTACCATGTACAGAGCAGTTTAAACTTCATGCATGTGTTCTCTTCTCAGAAATGTCTGTCTGGTTTAGCACATGTTTTTTAGCTCTGAAATGCAGCACTTCTGCAATATGTTCTCAGCATAATTCTGGATGAGTGCCTGTGTGAATGGAGGCGTTTACAGTGAAGGAGTAATGAGATCTTTGGAATAGATTAATATGAATGGGAGCACTTTGAAAGAGATTGGACAGACTTTTCATTCCATTTGCAGGAATTGTTAGGAAATGTTGTTTGGATTCATTATTCATTTCCCATTGTATTGCACCTCTTAATGTGAAAACCCATCTTTCTGCTAAGGGATGGGCTGGAAGAGGATTAAGTCTTGTACAGTAAGTAACACACTTTTCTTTTCTCCTGGTGGTTTTATGGTGGTGTCTAGGTTCTTATCACCTGAATATGTGAATAAAAAATGACAAATTAGCTTGTTTCACTGTAAGGACAGACATAGTTAAAACAGTTAATATAAGCTTATTTGTGTTTACATTGTGGATCTCTTTTAGAAGACCTAGCAAACTGCAATGAAAAGGGAAGTAGAATCACAAAATCAGCTGATTTGGAATGGACCTCATCTACCCTCAGTCCAACCTCCTGCTCCACGAAGGTTGCTCTGGGCTTTATCAGGTTGGGTCTTGAACCCTCCAAGAATGGAGGCTGAAGAGGCTCTCCAGGCCACCTGATCCAGCGCCTGCCTGTCCTCATTGAAATTTCTTTCCTTATGTCTGGGTGGAATCTATCCTTTCAATTTATGGCTCCTCCATTTCATTGTCCTGCTGTGCATTGCTGTGAGGGGCCCAACCCTCAATAACCCTCCAGGTAGGCAGGGTCAGGCTTCTGTGAGACCCTCCTGAAACTGTCCTTTATCCAGACTGAACAAGCCCAGCTCTCTCCATCTCTGCTCACAAGACAAGTCTTCAGCCCTGACCAGGAGCAGGGAAGTGATCCTTGCCCTGTACTCAGTGCTGGTGAGGCCACACCGGGAGTGCTGTGTCCAGTTCTGGGCCCCTCAGTTCAGGAAGGATATTGAGGTGCTGGAGCAGGTCCAGAGAAGAGCAACCAGGCTGGTGAAAGGGACTCAAACACAAGTCCTGTGAGGAGAGGCTGAGGAAGCTGGAGTTGTTTAGCGTGGAGAGCGCTCAGGGGAGACCTCATCACTCTCTACAACTCCCTTAAAGGAGGCTATAGCCAGGTGGGCATCGGTCTCTTTTCCCAGGCAGTTATCAGTAAGACAAGAAGGCATGGTCTCAAGCTCTGCCAGGGGAGGTTGAGGCTAGATACTAGGAAGAAATTCTTTACAAACAGGGTAATCAGGCATTGGGATGTACTGCCCAGAGTGGTGGTGGATTCTCCATCCCTGGAGGTATTTAAGAAGAGACTGGATGTGGCACTGAGTGCCATAGTCTAGTAACCGTGGTGGTAGTGGATCAAGGGTTGGACTTGGTGATCTCAGAGGCCCTTTCCAAGCCACTTGATTCTATGATTCTATGATTCTATCTTAGTAGCCTCCACTAGACATCCCCAGGTTTGTCAGTGCATTAAGATTCAAGGCCCAGACCTGTGCAGAAATATTTGCAGAAACAAGATCTTAAAGTTGTGTTTGTCTCTTGTACATTTTTATACCAATTCTTTCTCTTGCTGTTCATTGAGCAAGAACCTCTCAGCACTTATAAGAAATCAAAATTTATTATCAGTCCCTAAGATGCACTGCTTATAATAGCTATCTTCTTGGAATTTCATTAAGGACATTGCACTTGTTTTTCCTACAGTGTCTTCTTTTCATCTTCTTTGCTGAACTCTATGGATGGCAGACATTTTTCAGGATTAATGAATAGTGATAACATCGTTAGTCACTATCTGAAGATCCAATAATCCTTTAAAGGAGTGATGTGAAAGTCAATAGGTAAATGAAAAGAGGCTTTTAAATTGCTTCCTGTCTCTAACAAGTCAATGAAGTCCCTCAGTGGGAAGCTGAACATTTCATTGTCCCCGTGTAACAGCAGCTGAGGCTTCTCAGGACAGGACACAGGCACACATGAGAGACAGGAATGTTTAAAGCTACTTCCAGGTTCATTTGCAAAAGAGGTCTCTTGCCAAAGCAGGGTGCCAAGAAGCATGAAAAAGATAATGCCTTCTCTGTCTTTGTTTCTAAATGATATCTGAAAAGCCATCCCTACACTCTTTTACCATCAGCACTGAAGGAGGAATTTCAGATGATCCCAAACTGGGAGGAACAGTTGCTGCACAGGAGTACAGGGCTGATGGTCATGAACACCTCAAATATGTGGAGAAGTGGCATGGCAGGAACCTTGTGGAGTCCAGCCAAGGCCATCTGAAGATTTGCAATACCTGTTTGTTTCCTTCAAAAATGGGGTGAATGAGATTGAAGAAATGGGCAATGGATGTGTGAATTGAAAATCTCAGCTGATGTTAGGCCAAATACTCCTTTCTCATTCCAGCAGTATGCATCCCCATACTCTTCTCCATGGTGCTGTAAATGCTAGACCAAGTAGAACTTAAACAAGAGGGAAAAGTAAACTACCTTGAAGGCATAAAAGAAATATTTCTGGTTGTTTAGAGACAAGGCAGGTTCCTCACATATCCCTCTCTCCAAGGCCCTCCCTTGACAGTTTGAAGCAGAGAAGCCCCATTATTCTGTGCTGCTGAGGGTGGCCCTGCATCACAACCAGGGCTCTCTCCTTGCAGGAAAAGCTGTCTTTTAGTTTCTGAGTGTGCCTAAAGTGAGGAAAATTCATTACTGACAGTCTTTTTTTTTCATAGGGCAGCTTGTTAGGACATTTTTTCACCTCTCTTCTCCCCTAGGCTTTAGTATTTGATTCAGTGTTTAGCTTTGTTGAAATTGCCCAAGAGTAACTATGTAGTGGGAAAGCTGGGATATCTCTGAAGTCCAGCCTGAAGGGCTGTCAGCGCTTCAGAACAAGAGCTGAGTGGGGCACTAATCCCCTGTGTAGAGCAGAGCTCCCCTGGTGCCAGTCAGCAGGTTGGATTTGGCTGGGATGAGTCTGCTGGGCTTGTGCCGTTTGCTTAGGGAGATAATGGGCTGTTATAGCAGTTGGTGCAGCCAAACAGCCACCTGCCACTTGCTTTGCTTTTGCAAGGCCAGGCAGAAACAGCAGGCACCAGCAGCAGGCACCAGCACATCCATGTCCATCTCAGGGCAGGGAGGAGAGAGCTTCGATCCCTCTTTCACCACCAGGACAGTCAGAAACCAGAACATGCTTTCATCACTCATTTGTGAAAATCCAGTCACATTGCCCCTTTGTATTCACTTTTCTTCAAGGGAAAGCAACAATGCTTAAATCTAACTCTTATTTAACCTCACATCCATGCATTTCAGAGCACTTGGCATTGATAACTTTTTTTGTAACCAATTAAATTTATGTTCAGAGATTCCTCTGCGTTTATTTCACAAATCTTTAAAAACAAGCTATTAACTCTTTTCTCAGTTACTTAACTTTGAGTTCAGAAGCAGAGGTCAGCTGTTATCTCACAGAGGTTTTAAAGCAGAGGTATTTACTATAGTGGTTTATAATGCCATGCCTGGCTTTGGATTACTTGATTGCAAATAAACCTTGTATTTAAGTTCCTGAAGTATTAGGAAACATGTTAAAATGGGTGAGAACTTTTTCACCATGTCCAGTAAAAAAATATCCTTTTCATTCATAAACCACAACCTTGCTGCAGTTTCCTTGGTTTTTCTGTAGGTACCCATCAGAAGTAACCAGAGGAAGAACACTATATTGATGAGAATAATACAATGGTTTTATTTCATTACACTTATTCATGTACTCAGTTTCATCAAGACTTTTCCTGTAGGACTCACTAACAAGAATTACCAGCTGGAAATTAAAGGGATAAGACATATAGCCATAAATTTTCATAAACATTTAGTATCTTTCTGTACTGGATTTTTTTCCAATTAAGTGAGTCAGGTCTGTGCTGGTTGTGGGGAAAAAAAAAAAAGAATTGGAATTTAATTCTGAGGTAAATGGGTATATGGGAATAGACTGAAGCTTACTGTAGAGTTGACTTCATAGCTTCATAGTTGTCAGCCCCTGGATTGTAAGTGGGGAACACTGCCATTACATATTTTCAGAACCATATACAAAGTAACTATTAATAGAAAAATATTTGGGACATAACTTCAAAGGAAAAACATGTAAATATGTGTTAGTTTATAAAAATACCCAATAATAAATCTATTTATTAAAAGTTTCTTCTGGTACAACAATACAGCTATAGCAAACTTTTCTGAAAGTACTTAAAAATATTTTTTATCAATTCTGCCAGGCTGACTGTATTCATACATATATATGTATATATACAGACATACTTACACACACACACACACATCTGCACCATCACTGCTTCAACTGGATTTGTCTTTAGCAAATGACTGGCAGTGCTAAAAGTTCTAAAGGGACTTTCATCATATTGAATTAAAGTTACTCAAAGGAAACTGGAAGATAGAGTTTTGTGAAAAGACAGAACAGCATAAAAAAGGTCTCTCACTCCCTTTCCTTTTGCTTCTCCCTTCTGCAGTATTTCTCTCTGTACTGTTTTTCATTCTTCTGCACTCTATTACCCTCCTAAACTGTGTGCTACTCCCACCTATTCTCTTTCTTTGCTTTCATACTAACTGACAGTATGTCCTTTCATGTTCCTATCAAGCCTGGCCAAGTGGCAAATGCTCACTCTCTCATGCACACTGACTTTTCTCGTTGTTCTTAGCTGAAAAGGTGCAACTGTGCTGGTTTTGCAAGATGGTTTGTTTCAGATGGGATTTTTCACGGCGATGAATCAGATTCATTTTGTTCTCCAGTCACTGCACCGCAGCTTTGATGTTTCTGTTCTTCCCAGTAACACGTCAATGATGATATGTTTTCTGCAATATAACACCATACCAGGCAGT